GCTTACTATGGCAAAAAAAAAAAAAAAAAAAAAAAAAATAATTTAATCTATAATAATGAAAAAATATTCTTTATATATAATTTTTTCTTAATATTTTAATTCCTTAATCCTTCAGTTCTTTGGAAAGTTGATTTCAGTGACTCATTCCCCAAAGATTTCAGCTAATGAAGAATTTGATATATTTTCTTCCCAACTATAAAGATTAGAAACAGATGTTCCTTTACCCAGTTCCATTTTTTGAAGTTCACAGCATTTGAAATCAGTTATAATTCCCAGTTTACCCCTCTATAAAGTATTATATATTCTTTCATTTCACATATATATTTCAGTGGCAAAATTTGTGTTTAGCACTTAGGTGGGTAGAAAATAAAAACTTTACATTTTAGATCTACTGCTGATACATCAAGAGAGGCAATTCATCAGACTAGTCATTGATTTACCAGTGATTTTCACTCAGTCGGAATCAATCTTATATTTTTCAAACTACCCTTTCCCTCTCCTCTGTGTTTATCTCTGCAGAAGAATCTCTGCATATGAAGTTAGGAAGGAGATCAAGGTTACCCTCCAGTAATTTAATTGCCTCCTAGGCAAAACTCAAAAGACTTCTGACAAAACCAAGAGTTCATAATCCCAGGAATATTATAATCAACAATGCTGCAATAACAAAAATGACTTACTATTTAAAAGACAAAAAAAAAAAAAAAGACATACCAGAAGTATGAATAAACTGGAAAACATGACCCAGAATCAAAAGAAAAATTGACCAGTATAAATAGAATGATGATCCTAATGCCATCCAAGTGCCTTACTACCATGAACCCCCTCCTTCATAAGAGTCTAACAAACTAAAGGATTAATTCTCAGTGTAGTAGGGGGATGCCTACTAAACTATGGCATTTGAAAATTAGAAACAATATCTAAGAGTTTAATTATAAATTAAACTCATCAAAATTATAAATTTTTACTCTTTAAACATTATTTTCAATTAACAAAAGTTAAATGTTTAAGAGCACTTATATTTTTCTTTAATCAAAAATAAAAGATGACAAATACTCTTGCTATAAGCAACAGCATAGCCATTATTCCTAACATTATCTGACTTATATTTATAATAACAGGAGGGAAAACAGTTGGTTATAAAGCCTAAGTTTTATTTCTTCTCATCAATTCAAAAATCATATAGGAAATCTCCAATCAATTTTCTAGCAAATATACATTTAAGGTTCTGATAACATTGCTCTGAAACGCAATTATTTCACTGGATTTTTGAAAGAAACCTTAGGCATTTCCAACCACCTTAATGTGTATATTAAAACCTAGCATCTGATAGGTTAAACTTGCACAAGATGGCAGAAAGAGAACACTTTTTCTATTCTACTTCCATGTGCCATAGTGTCTATGTACAAGTCTGTTTGTACCCAGACATTCAAAATTCCTTATGCATCAAGTTACTTTCTCAAAGAGGATTTCCATGCTGAAATAAAATGTGAAGTGATGGGTAACCTTTTGACCAAAGGTTTAAGAGTAACCTGAACTGAATCTTTTCTAACACTGATCAACATTTAAGTAACAATGGCATTCTATGAGAATAGGTATGAAAAGACAGACCAAATAAGGCAAGACCCACTTTTATACAATTTTATTTAGTATGTCACAGTGTCATTCTGAACAGTATTCTAACAAGAGAAATAATAAAATATCTTATTATAAATGCATATTTAAAAAATAGGCATTACATTCATATAGCTCAAATCAATATTTAAAGAGCACCCAGTAAAAAGTCTTTTTCCCAAATCTATTCCCTAGCCACTCAGTTCTCAAGACTCAGTTCCTTACATATTCCTCCAGAATACCACATATTCTAGTACTATCATGCCCTTTAAAAAATGGTAGCATTATATACACACCTTGTTTTTTTCACTCAAAAATAAATTTGGAAATGTGTTTTTCAGTAAAGAATGCTTTCACAGCTGCATATTGTTTAAGTACATATTCTTACATCACAATGGAAACAATACGAGCTAAACTATGGCAAAAAATCAATTGTCAAGCCAAATCATAGGAAAAACTACCCTTTTTTTGGAGACAGAGTCTCACTATGTCACCCTGGGTAGCGTGCTGTGGCATCACAGCTCACAGCAACCTCAAACTCCTGGGCTCAAGCGATTCTCTTGCCTCAGCCTCCCCAAGTAGCCAGGACTATAGGTGCCCACCACAACGCCTGGCTATTTTTTTTGTTGCAGTTGTCATTGTTGTTTAGCTGGCCCAGACCAGGCTTGAATCCGCCAGCTTGGGTGTATGTGGCTGGCGCCCCACTCACTGAGCTATCGTCACTGAGCTATCGTCACTGACCCAAAACTACTTATTTTTTCTACCAAAGGATGGAGAGTAGATTTCTGATATTCCGATATTTCTCGCTACCTTGTCATAAAACCCTTATATACACTTGGATCAAAAAGTTTAGCTTTCTTCCAAGTGTACATAAACTTTACAGAAACTAACAACAATTTAGGAAACAAAGGCACTTTCGCTTTTCTTCAACTTGTGTGATTTTTTTTTTTTTTTTTTTTTTT